CGGTGTTTGAAGCACGTTAGACGAAATCTCACGGATGCGTCGAGCAGGCCACGTCGGCTCCGCGCCTACACATTAATCGTAAAGTTTGACATCGTTACCTCGAATAAATTCCCATCCAACGTAAACACGCGCGATCGTACCGAGAACGTCCTCTCGGGGTGGAAGGAGAGTTCGTGCATGTGAATAAGCGTCGGCCGCACTTAGAAGCTTCGTCGACCGACCCACATCAGGGAGCATGAGGCCCGCGAAAAGCTGGGCCCCCCTGGCAGCGACCGTGCTCGCCACGGCTCTGCTCCTGCAGCCAATCCACGCCGAGGGTAAGGAATTACAAATTAACGCTCCTCATCCCTTCAACGAGTGAGTAGCTCGGGTCGCGGGACGACATCAACCCTTTCAGTGCTGAACTGACCGATCGGTGTAGTTCACGGACCGTGTGGTTACGATTCGAACTGTTAGAAATTGTATTTTTATAAACTTTATTTTCTGAAGAATTACAACGTATATAATAATGTTAAAGGAAAGGTGTCCGAAATTCACGACGACCCTTACCATTTGACTTGTTTCTACGGACTGGGGATCGTTGCTTTCTGTCCCTGCTAGGACCCCACCCCTCTTCTGCTTTAAGGAAAAACAGACCCTTTTCCTCAAGGCCCGAAAGCGGCAATCGTTGCATTCCAACACGAACATTAATTATATCATGAAAGAATATTATATTAGATTGTCCGGAAAGTTCGTGGCAATTTCTAAGAAAACTTCAAAAACACGTTTGAATTTCAATATATATTTATTGAATTACATAGGTGCCATTTTGTTCCACAACCTTTCCAACTTTTAAGGGTACGCGTGTTATTTGTTTTCAACCACTTCGATATATTCAGACCTGTACCACCTACCAAAATTCGTCATGGACTTTCCGAATAACCCTATAATAGGAGACGTGTTTCGGGAATGAACTAACGTGTAGTCTTGGAAAATGGTAACATGGAAGAAGTCTTCGAGTTTTCCGTGGATGTTTCCAAATAAATTTTTCGTTATATGTTATATTTAATGTAATTTAATTTTATATAATTGTATAAGAAATTTGTCTATCCAGAAGTTCGTTTGGAGACGTTGGATAGCTATTGTTCTCTTATGTGCCAATGTAATAAGTTTTGTAATAATATTGTCGTATTATGGTCATTAAAAAAGTTTTAAGAGAATGTATATGTATGTGTGAGTGGAAAAGTTGAATTACATTTATTTGGAAACATCAACTCCGCCGTTTAATTTAGACGAATTTCTTCAATAGTGTATGTATCCATAACACTCAAAGGATTGTCTCATTGAGGTTAGCATTTTTTTCATTGAAAGAATTGGAAAGAGACAGTTTCCCAAAGACTCGTTCAAATCATCCGATGAGGACTTTTACAGCGTCTGAAAATAATGTTTCGGGTCCCAACATAAGAAATTATTCATAGAAACAGCTACTTTATTTCGTTGATAATAGTTGGATTACTACGACTATAAACTCGCGACAACGATGGGTTTAACAATTAAGAATCATCGTCGCAAGGAAACGCAGGAAGGGAAAGTGCTAAGCGCTTTTACGTTAGAACCTGCGTGTCGATTCCTGGCACTGATAGTGACACAAATAACAAAACATAAAGTTCGTTTGCATCGCAGAAATAAACATCGTGAGTACGGTTCTTTCATCTTGTAAATTCTTTTCTTCTGACACATTCATTCTTTCTCTCGTCTTAAAATAGATTTACATTTACACGTGCAACGATTTATATTCTACAAGTATGTATTCCAAGCATAAAATTATAATAATATCAAATTATAAATTAATAGCAAGTAGTTATTATATTTAAGAGAATACAAAGATTTAAAAATGTAAAGATTTAAAATGTTCAATGTTTACTGAAGATATTCATAGTAGTCTCAATTACAATGACTTTTCATTTAGCCAATTTAAGAATGTGTCATCCGACAAAAAAATTTAAGAATAAATATTTTATAAGTGATACCTTTCTGACGTGATTATGGATGCAATTTCTATTTTAGTATTCTATTTTAGTAATAAATTAATAGCAAGTAAAATAAAGTATATTTAAGAAAATACAAATTTTACTTTTTACTTTTTTTTACTTTCAAAATTAAAAAATTTTTAATTTCCGTTACTTACTTAATTCATAGTAGTCTTAACTATCACGACTTCGTATTCAACCAATTCAACATGTCATCCAAAAAGAAAATTTAAAAAGAAATATTTTAAAAGTGATACCTTTCTACGACGACGAAATTATGGATGTAATTTCTATTTTAGCGTCACAAACAGTCTGATAAATGAAAAAATTAATTGTGTCGCGTAAATCGGTCAATCTTCTCGATGGAGATGGTTACTCTCAATCCCATGAAGCGGTATGCAGCGAGATAGGCGGTCTTTCCATCTTCTTCGGCAGATTAATAGGATAATTGTTTATCAAAACGTATGGAAATGACGAGTTCCGCGGGAGAAATAGAAAGTTTTAAAAAGCAATCGGGGATAATACGTGATACCGATGACCCGCACTGCATAGAGAGACCAAGAGGAACTATCACTTTATACTCTCACACGTTAAGCCGAGCGAATTTCACGCGATTGCGCTACGATAAGTTTCACTTTAGCGGCGTGCATCCGCCGGGTGAATGAAAATCGGACGCGAAATTGAAAAATCAGGACGCGAGAAAAAAAAAAGTAGAAATCGCTCGCGACAGTTCCAGGAAGCGAAAATGAAATATTCAAACGACGGAATGTCGTGAATTATCGGCGAGGTTGTTTAAACGAAATTGCACGTAGCAGAGTGATGCCCCGATATGTAAACCAACTCCGTATCCTATAATCTGGCATACATTTTACAACGAGTACACACGTGTGTAAAATGAATTAAAAGATTTCTATTTTATAATCGCAAACAAGGTGTCTGTTTTATGTTTTAAACATTTGGTTTTAATTTCGTATCCAACACCTATAAATAGAACATTGTATTTACCGAATGGTAATGTAAATAGTATTTATTAAAATTGATATTTAAAAGATGTAAGTATTTCTTGCAAGGAAAGAACTAAAATTACAAATGGAAAATAATATTTGAAAATTTATTTTTACGTTTCAATTACGTAAAGATTATACTTCGTTGCTATGGTTGGAAATTAAGAAACGGAAAGCAAAGATTTCTTTGTTGAGATTTCAACATAATTGAACAGGAAACAAAATTTGTACATTTATCGATGATTCAATGGAAATCTTAGATGAAATCTTTGATCATTGTTCATAATTGCGTTACGATTTTCTAAATTAACTTCCCTCGACGGGCAAAGTAGGCTACAGGCGAATAGAAAGGATTTGAAAGCGATTCTTTTCGAAATTGTTACAAAATTTACGTGCAATGAACCAATTAGAAAATTCTCACGTTGGATAGAATACACGGAGATAAAAAGTATGCATAATATATATAAACATGAATCATAAAAATGTACGATACATTAAGATGAAGAAGAAAGCGTGTGACATATCTGGACGGACAATGTGATTAAACATCGTCAATTAAATATTCGAGGCACTGTTTTAGAAGTATACAGGCCAAGATTAATGAGCAAAGTGGATTACTTGCTTCTTATTTAGTCGATTCAACAATATATCATTCGAAAGTCATTTGGAAATAAATCTTCTAAAAGTAATATTTTTCTACGATGACGAAACTATGAATCTAATTGCTATTCTAATGTCGCGACGAACCTGTTAAATTCATAAACAATTATGTTGCATGAACCAACCAAGTTTCTCGATGGAAATCGTTACGATCTACTTACGGTTTCACGGTAATATAATTTACTTTACCGAAGAAGAGTGAAATTTTGTTATAATAAAATTCTCAGGGACTACGTAAGTACTTTCTAAGTACTAACTAATTAATTATCAAAATTACACATTACGTAAGTAACGTTAACGGACATGATTTATTATGCAATGTCTTACAAGAAATTTAGTATTGGATCATGTATTATTAATTAAATTTACTTATTGTAATATGAGCTGCGTAAAAGAAATTTTGTATAAATTAATGAAATTAATTATCCATTACTGTGGATGTTTTGAATATAGTAAGACATGCACAGCTTTCGTGAAATATTGTTTAAATTATTTCATAACAATTTCATTCAAGACGAAGACCATGATACAATGATACAGCTTGTGTTAGACATTGTTTTATTTATACCATCAAAAATATTAATAAAATAATTCGATTTAACCAATTATAATAATAAATTATTGCGTTTTAGGTATTTTATTGTAAAGACTATCGAATGCATTAGACATATACAACTTGCGTTCAGCGTTGTTTTATTTATTCCATTAAAAATATACAAAATAATATAATTGGATTTAACCAAGAAGTAAATTTTCGATTCTTAGATATTTGATTGTAAATGTTATTAAATGTGATAGACAGCTGCAACTTATATTCAGCATTGTTTTATTTATCTCATAATAAGTATTGAAAGCAAAACGATTGGATTTAATTGACCAGACCTTGAAGTCTTGGATATTTGATTGTAAATACTATTCCGGGAATACGTGCAATTGCAGTAAAGAACAATCAAAGAAGAATTCAGCTACGAGCTTTATTAAAGACAATGCGAATAGATCGTGGCTCTTGACCTCCACCGTTTCTAAAGTAGAGATATCCCAACCAATTTGAGGAGACGGCTGCGTGAAGTCACAAACTGCGGTTACACAGAGCAATCACGGAGGCGCAGTCATTTAAGGACATCCTACACTTTCATCGAGTAACGACGGGGAGAGACAAAGAGACACAGTGTCCGTTGATCTTATTAACGTTATACCACCTGACACTATAAACTCGAGATTCTCCGGGGCTCACAATAGCAAGACATCAATCCAACTTTCTTCTTCTCAAATGTCATTTTAACCTAAGAACCAAATGTAGATATGCGGGACTGCGGAGAAGAACAAATAATGATTTTAAAATTTTGAAAAGTTCATTACAGCGATATAAAATGATATATACAAAATTTCTGAGCGATATCGTAATGTAACAGAGGTATAAATTTCAGAGTTAACAGAATAAATACTTCTAATTGCACTTCTAATTGCAAATTATAAAGTAATAATATAATAAACATCTGCTAGAAAAGTGACACAATTCAACGATTCGCTGTTGGAAAGCAATAATTAGGTACCTTAAAATAAACTATCTCATGTTAGAATACTTAAAAATTGTCAAGAATTTTCCAATCTTGTCTATCTTTATTTATAAGTCACTGTTACATTTTCGGGAATATTGAAATGGCATATACACGACGAAATCATTATTTTTGTATCGATTTGGTATTTTGTCATATATTGTATGAAGCTATATATTTTTCACACAGACAATACGTAATAATTTCTGACTTTACCGTTAAATAAAGATAGTAAAGGCTTAAAAATACTCCAAAAAAATTCTTCTACATAATCAAATGAGAAAATATTTTAAATACGTTTCTGCAAAAAAAAAATGTATAAAGACAAATGAAAAAACAAATCGAACGTCTAATATTAATGCTTTGGTATTAATAGTTGACTAGTTGAACCGGAAGGGAATTAAAAGATGCAATGTAAACATTCGCAACAGTACAATTTTTTGAGTAAAATATCATTTCAATGGCACACATCACTCAGTTACGATACAATTAAAAAATCTAAAAACCACATTCCGATTACATTTACAGCGCCAGTCTCGGGTAGCTACTTACCACCATCAACGAGCTATGGCACACCGAATCTAGGAGGAGGTGGCGGAAGCGGAGGTTACTCCGGTGGATCCCCATCGTCTTCTTATGGTGCACCTAGCGGCGGCGGTGGTCGTCCATCCTCCAACTACGGAGCACCGAGCGGCGGCGGCGGAGGATACAACGGAGGTGGCGGAGGTGGCGGAGGATACAACGGAGGCGGCGGAGGTGGTGTACCATCGTCTAATTATGGCACACCAGGATTCGGCGGCGGTGGCAGCGGCGGGGGTGGTGGCGGATACTCGCCTCCGTCCAGCAACTATGGAGCACCGAATGGAGGTGGCAGACCCTCGAGCAATTATGGTGCCCCGTCAGGAGGCGGTGGCGGTGGATTCGGTGGAGGTGGCGGTGGATTCGGAGGTGGAAGACCTTCCAGTAACTATGGCGCTCCTACCTCCGGAGGTGGCGGCGGTTACTCCGGTGGAGCTCCTTCGTCGAACTATGGTGCACCGTCGCGTGGAGGTGGAAACGGTGGTGGAAGACCATCCTCTTCTTACGGGGCACCGAGCTCTGGCCCGTCCGGCAGCTATGGTGCACCGACTGGCGGCGGCGGCGGTGGTGGATACTCAAGACCATCTTCGAGTTACGGTACACCTAGCACCGGTGGTGGCAGTTTCGGAGGGTAAAAAAATACACGATATTACTTTACTTTTTTTCAATGGTTTAAACTAGGAACGAGGAAATCGCACCCTTTTGAATGTTCGATCCTTCTTTATCGCATAGCTTGGCAATTAGATGCGACTAAATTGATTAGATGCAGCAAGAAAAATTACGTTTTCTTTGGGAATATTGAGTACGATTTCAGGAAGACGCGATGCTGTGTTGTAATTAGTATTTTGGTTAATTATGTACAGTCTGTAACATGCTCATTCGATGTAGTTTCAAAGGTATTTGTGCAATGGATACGTGCACTTTTTCTAATTCGCATTTGTAAAATATTCTTCAATGATTCTTATGTATTTTGTATATACGTGTTTATTACGTAGGCTTGTTTAGAATTTAGCTTAGAATTTTGTAATTAGTATTTTGGTTAATTATATACAGTCTGAGCAAACGTACTCATTCAATGTAATTCCAAAGATATTTGTGCAATGGATACGTGCACTTTTCTCAATTCATATTTGTAAAATATTCTTCAATGACTATTATGTATTTTGTATATACGTGTTTGTTATGTAGGCTTGTTTAGAATTTAACTTAGAATTTTGTAATTAGTATTTTGGTTAATTATATACAGTCTGAACAAACGTACTCATTCAATGTAATTCCAAAGATATTTGTGCAATGGATACGTGCACTTTTCTCAATTCATATTTGTAAAATATTCTTCGAAGATTATTATGTATTTTGTATATACGTGTTTATTATGTAGGCTTGTTTAGAATTTAGCTATTATTTATTTTGCATTGACACATTATCTATCGAGAGCCTATTAATAGACTTTTCAATTGTAGCGTTTACCTACCTGAACTAATTAATTGTGTTGGTTATAATGGTCAATTTGAGAAAGTTGACAAGGCTATTGACATACCTAATAACAGTATGCAAAAGTTAATGTCAGCGTAAATAAATATATCCTTTTCTAAATTGCAGTTTCTTTCTGTATAAGCTGATAGATAGTTAAAGTATCAATCAAATTACTTGCTTTACACTAGTCTTCTTCTAAGTTGAAGTTTCTTTCTATATAAGCTCATAGTTACATATCAAATTAAATAGAACAATTTCTATTTACTTTACAAAATCCAATATTGCTTCAGAGTATATCTGGTGAATTTTCTCCTGTATGCAATGGTATTCGACATAATTTGAAACTGTATCTAATTTTTATCAAATCAACGAGGCTCAAAGTTTAATTTGCTTTATACGAAATATCTCGTGACTCGTACGCAACGTGTTAATAATTACTGCAGATGTATTTAAATTAAGATTTTCTAATTAAGATTCTCTTCGTTATAAAAAAGTTGCTTACAGTACAATGTTTATCCATATACAGGGTGTCTCAGACTTAGTGTAAGAACCGGAAATGGGAGGAACAAACAAGTTGGGATGATTCTGAGCCACAATTTCCTTTGCAAAAATATGGGATAGTGCTTCGTTTTTGAATTATTAATGAAAAAGCACCGACCAATCACAGGGTCCGATTATCGCGCGCTCAGCTGGCTACTCCCCGACCTGAAGTAACCAGCCAATCCTGGCTCGAATCTATGCTCTCGCGACTGAGCGCGCGCTACTCGTGCGCTGCGATTGGTCGGTGGTTTTTTGTTAATAATTCAAAAACCAAGAACTATCTGACATTTTCGCAAAGGAAATTGTGGTTCAGAATTCTTACACTAATTCTAGGACACGCTGTATATCTAAACATTAACACTAGAATTACCAAGCAGGTAAATTTGATTCATGTACGTCGAACTCCTTTTTAAAATTACTCCATCGTTAACTTTGCATGGGCTACAATTTTAATGACGTTTATTGAGATAGTTTACGGTACCATTTCAGGTCCGGCGGATATTCTGGAGGCGGCGGTGGTTACTCTGGAGGAAACGGAGGCGGTTATTCCGGAGGTGGTGGCTACTCGGGCGGCGGTGGCTACTCTGGAGGAGGCAGTGGCGGCTACTCTGGAGGAGGCAGTGGCGGCTACTCTGGAGGAGGTAGTGGCGGCTACTCTGGAGGAGGCGGAGGTGGCTACTCTGGAGGAGGCGGAGGTGGTTATTCTGGAGGAAATGGAGGCGGTTATTCCGGAGGTGGAGGTGGTTACTCCGGTGGTGGAGGTGGTTACTCGGGAGGCGGCGGTGGTTACTCCGGCGGTGGAAATGGTGGAGGTGGTCAGAGCTATGCCAGCAACGGAGGTTATCAATATTAATCGCGGGAACCGTTCGCCTCGCGCGAGGACCTTCGAGCTTGTTTCACCTGTAATTGAGTATCATCGGACCAAGCAAAGGGACTCGAATGACTCGGAAACCTCCACGCTGCGACTCAAACACGGTAAAATTATTCTGAAGGCTAAGAACTGTCGGTCCAACGAAACGTCTACTGCCGGAACGAAGATGCGCGAAGCGGAATCAAAGGTCGCTCCCGCGAATTCGAAACCATCCACCGAGCATCCAGGATTCGCATTAATGTTTAACAGCAACGCGGCCGCTGTTGAAAGGAAACCGGAACGTTTGCCAGGCCAGACGCATTCCCGCGAACCGACGAAAGAACGGAACACGGTAGAAACGTAGAAAGGAATAAGAACGATGCTTCGCTGTTTCTTGATTGATCGCAATACACGCTCGCGGGAAGACGTCTGCCGTTATTAACATTCGTCGTCGAATCGGAAGGAAGAAATTTCACCTGCGAAAACCGCTGAAAGGAGGCGAGGAATCGCGAGGGAGGGAAAGAGAGACAAAAAAGTTCACTCCTCATTCAGAGCCTGTAACTTATTTATTTTGTAAAAAATGCTTTTTGTACTAATAAAACTGCTACGCTAAAAAAAAAAAAAAAACACGAGGAAACTTAATCCCCGGGAAAGAGTTTATTCGGACGCAACCTACCCTTCGAAACCAGAATAAAGATCATTAGGTAACTATAGAAGTAAGACGAAGGGGCACGGCGTAAGGTTAGTTGGGCAACGTAGCCAGTCGGTCGATTTATCGATTCTCCGGGCTCGAATGGCAGGAAGGTATGAATAAGTAAGAGCTCTAGCTATTTCTGTTGTAACCTAGCTAAAAACGCCTATCGATGCGAGGACCTACGACGTACACGTCGATACACCCGCGACGGAAAATCGTGTGTCCTGACCCATTTGCTTTTCCACTCTTCGTACATACCGCTAGACGAAATATTGACGACACCTCTGATATATTATACTATCTCAACAACCCATTCGCATCACGTACAGATATATGCGAATGTAGCGTCAACAGTTTTTTAAAATCTTTTGAAGACATATGTTACTGAAAAAAACCGACATATTTTATTTTTGTGTGTTTATGGATCGACTATTAGAAGTCTCATCGTTTCGTGTAAACTAGTTATACTCCATCTCTTTTATTATTACTATTATTATTATTATTATTATTATTATTAACGTAGAATGAGATAAAAAAAAATAAATCATCTTGATACACCTCGTACTAAGATCAAAATTTCCTGTAGTATACAAAGGTTCGTTATTATTACACAGGGTGTCATATTTTGCCATCTGGAATTACGTTGTTATTATTTATGGCGTTAGCAAACAATATTTCAGATGAAAGTTGAATAGTTTTGAGAGGGGCACATTCTGATAGTACATTTTTTTTTTTTTTTTTTTTTTTGGTGGACGTGTAGAGAACATACTAACTAAGGCCACCAATGTTTTTTTGAATGGAATCATATATTTGTTGTTGCATCAGTTGATGCTCCTTCATATCCTTTACAAAAAGGTATGAATCTATATGTGCAAAGAAATCATTAGTTTAGGAGATATTTTAATCCTAACTGACCCCCGATCGGTGACCTCCTGATATCTTCCATATTTTCCAAGGAGATACGTCCCAAATATTACAATATTTACTCGAATACATGTATAAAATATTCTTAAAGTTTCATTAAATTATATACATTCCTTTCTTGCTAAAAAAATTCATGCAAATCGCTAAAAAAGCATAGTCCTTATTAAACCTATTTACCCCCTTAATGTACCCCACAGAAAGTAACCATTAAATCTCAAACTCGATGTTACGCTAATCACAAGCAAATTGTGGAGAAACTGAATGCAACGCTTAAACTCCTATCTCAACAAATAAATATTCATACCTTGTTTGCGTTGCATTATAGGTGAAGACATCGGCAATTTCTTTTACCTACCTGTGCAAGTAGCCAGTTACGAAATTAGCGAATAACAAATACAGAAACATTCTTGCAGATGACCATCTCGACAGTTGCATCACGGATTTGTGTCACGGGCCATGTATTCGCTAAATTTTCAATCATTCATAAGTATTAGCCACTCTTTTAAAGGGGTGCTCTTGTTTTTTGGGTTAAGGGGGTGAATCACTGTAAAACCATTTTTACGAGAAGTAAGCTAAAAAAATGTTTATAAAGAAAGTATGGCAAATTATAAGTATACTTTATTAAATTTTACGCAACATTTTGGAAATGTTTATCTTTTGAGAAATGCAACAAAACGTCGATTTTAAAATCCAGTGATCTAGTAATACGATTCAATGCAATGGCGGAGTCAACTGAATGCCAAGATATGAAAATTATTACAAAATCATTCCTTTTTGCTGAAAAATCCTGTGATCGAACGGAAATAACAAATTGAAAGGATCAAGAATAAAGAATTAAACGAGGACTTTTCTAATTTCAGTTTTGGATTTACTGTTGCGTTTGATCACATAGATATATTAAGACATCGGTTCTCAGCTTAGGGTTTATTGATACGTTTGATCGCGGAACTGTATTTATTGATCATCTACAAAAAACAAAAAAATATATTATATAAAATATAAGAGTCGTTTTATTTTTTATGCAAAGGGGTTTTCAACCGCTGTCGTTCAATCTTCAAACTCGCTGTATTTTCATTTTTTTTATTTTTAACTACTGGAAGCAAATAGGTCGAATTGTGGGTGTTCGTACTACATCATTCCTAAATCATCGCTAAACTAAAACACCTGTTCAGGAAATAATTACAAGGTTCGTCTCTCTCGTAGAGCAGGAATGCCACGATGTCGTCTTAAATAACCAGCAATCCCAGAAGCTCAACCAAACTTGACCAAAAGAATTTTTCTAAGCATAAATCACGCGAGCAGTAATCTCTCCGATTCGTTCAACTGCACCGACGGCATTCCTCCTCGCCGAGTTACCGAATCAACATTCTGCCACTTCTTTTTCGTACGCTGTTTATTTTTAACATTTACAATCAACATATCGCGTTCAGTGTCTCAATTATACACGTATAGTATGTCGTATAATACAATACCGGTTAACGCTTTCGTAATACATATACATGGATATACTCTTACGGGGTACATCGGGCGTTTTCTGTTTACCTTTACACGTAATAATACTCTACGATAGGTAGGACGTCCCGGAGCTCGCGAGATCGGGACGCGGGGTTACAATAAGAGTAGGTACGCGATTCGGTTTTGAAGCAGGCGGGTAGTCGAAGAACATTAGCATCCCGTAAGAATGGAATTTATTTAGTAAGTTCGCAATTACCGGCCAACTCGAATCGAACCTTTTACGTTCGGCGTTCAGGCAGCCCGTCGTTCGTGCGCGTTTATCGTCGTTTCGCTCGCGATACACGCGGGAGACTTGTATCGTTCGTTAATTTCCGGCCGCGTCGCTGGACGATAGACTCGAGCGAGAGAAATTAGTGGAACACTCTTTCTTTCTCGGAAAATTTCAGGTGTTCTTCTAATTCGGCCGAGTTACGACTCTATCGATCACTTTGACGAGAGGATAAACGCTATATATTTATATATGTTTATGTATATATGTGTATGTGTGTTGTGTGCGTGTGTGTAGGACTTATATACATGTCGTATTTCTCTTACTTCTCTTCTTTCTTTTAATTACGCTTTGTTCTTATTTACTTTCCTATCTTACACGCTAATATACCTAATATATATATATAGAACACGCATCATGATATGTATAGGTTTCTCGTCGCATTGCTGGTTGCAATGCGCGTTTATTGATATGTAAGCGTCCGTGGCCGCTTTATGATTAACATTTATGCCGCTACAGTGAGTCAGGTTAGTCTGGTACCGGCTCATCTACGAAACAGCATCCATCTACATGCTACGAGTTTCTCCTTCCCTTTCACGCGGCGTACCGAACCAAGTGTCGTCTCGATCGTAGAAATATAAATGGTCGAACGAAATAGTTACGGATCCCATATTCGCGGTGACCTGACATTCGAGCGAGGATGATCTTCTCTTTCGAGTCGCTCAATATTTACTTAAATCGAGCTTTAATTGGTTGCGCGAGGCTTGAATGTGTTTTGAATGCGATACTTCGAACGGTAAAAATGTACAAACGGATGGAAATCATTTTTGAAGTTGGTAGTTTCATTGAGTTGGTCTTATGACTCCGTGGTGCGTTATTTAGATTTATTTTGTTATCGATTGTTATTTTGGATGTTTCAACGATACCTCTGTAACGAATAAAAGAAAGTGGATGCATAGAGGTCCCATCCATTAGAAAATCAATCTTTTGGTGTTCTTTCGGTCAGATTCAAATTCGTAAATGATTCAAAATAATTGAAAATATTTCGTGTAAAGTTTCGATTAAGCTATGTTAACCCTTAGAAGCCTGATTTTCCAAATTAAATTTTGAACAGTATCAATGTATTTATTATTTGAATAAGTGTGATTGTTGACGGTTATTTCTTTAACTTTTGTTTAAAGGAACATTATGCAGTGGTAACATACATACAGACAAATATTAAAAACAAACCAATTGCAAGTGCAACAAACCAATTACAATTCGATTTAAAAGTCCGGTATCAAGTTTGAAACTTGGGACATTTATGGGTTAATATATGTTTAGAGCAACTAAGATTTGTACTTCTAGTATCATTGATAAATAACGACACTGAGTTTCGAGGATCTGAATTTCTTCAGAAATTGTAATTAAATCTTATCTGTATCTAATTAAATGTAATTGTAATTAAATTAAATTAAATTTTAAATGTTATATGATTTATTATCTATATCAAGATAGCAAACCTTTTGTGATACATCTGCCACGATTATTAGTCCTCATCGTTTGTTGTTTAATTTAATATATCATTTAATTTATATATGTTTCACTTGAGTTTTTGTGATTTATTGAAATAAGCAATGAGAAACTGTACAAGGATAGCCTCCACAAACAAATGAACACTTTTCTCGCAAGTTCCTCATAAGTACCCTTCTTGTTTACTCACGATTTCTTTATAATTATTCTTTCTGGCACACGCTATTGGAATTTAAATCGTAGAACAAGAGGTTAACTCTTTAACCTATAACAACCTGCGAGACTCGAGGAC